TGCCGAAACGGCTTCTACTTGAACCATTTAGTACCGATCACCAATTCAATTCGAGTCAGTGCACTGTTAGCGCACGAAAAAACAAAATCATTAAATGCCACATAAAAAAAAAACATGCCCCTGTGTGATGTTTACCAAAGCACTTAGGAAGTATTGCTCTGAGATATAAACTCAGCGACAGTGATGAAAAAAAATATGTATATACAAAACATACTGTTATATTAGCAAGCGGTATAATTTCGAAATTTTTTAAACAGTTTATATTCAACAGCACCTATCGCAAATGTAAGCGTTTTTAATGCGAACTTGCCAAAAAGTTTTACATAAATTCCAAAAACCGTTCTGAGCTGGCTTTAAACTAATATTTTGACCAATTTGTTAGAAGAACCAGTTCCCCGTCTCACGAGCGTCGGGTCTACGTAGTCGGAACGGACTCGAATTTTTATCCGGCCAGGGACTGTCAACTCGGTAGTATTCTGCCGCCACAACAACAACAACAGCAAGAAGAAATTTAGAAAAAGCACGGTCAGAAGCTACATACATACCCACATATGTATGTATATGATTTGATATAATAGCAATACATTTAAAATGGTTAATTCAATTGTATTTTAAGAACAAATAATAATGCTATAAACAAGTTTTCAAATATTTCCTCTTTGAAGTGCTGAAAATAACGGTTTTTGAAAGAAATTATTTGTATTGCCATTTTTAGTATATTTCTAATAATGAGCACATTCGTTATTATAATAATCATACAATATTAAACAAACTTACACAAATCGTGCTTACTGCAAATGCAATTTGCTTACAAAATTCGTTTCGATAATGAAAAATTGTGTGTTTTTCCCCCCTTAATATGCAGTTTAAAATACTCGTATGTGCTGTATTCAACAAATTCTTGTTAGTCCACTTAAAAGGTCAGATAATAAAAAGTTGCAAATTGAACATTGCATGAAAAAAGTTTATATGTATATAAAAATAATTATATTAGGTATAAATACATTGAAAATAGTTGTAAAAAAAAATTAATATATTTGTATGAATGACATTTAGCTGCATGTATACATACGTATGATTGTGTAAAGTATGCATCTAAGAATTGTATATATAAGCAGTGATACTGCATTATTCTTTATTTGTTAATGTTCGAAAATTATCTCGTATTATTAAAAAAATAAAAAAAACATAATTTGATGGGCGTGCAACAATGCACAGTAAAATTAATGTATACTTGAACATATGCAACAGTAATTATACATATATACGATATACATATGTTTGTATCTGTATAAAAATTACATTTCTGTATGTATGCCAATGCTATATATGTAAAATTTTTGGCGAAATTGTGAAAGTAACCACAAAATAGATGAATGGACAAATAAAAGGATATATGTACACATATATTACTTATCAATAAGAAATGATACAAATTATTAACGTAAAATAAAATTGTAAAAGATATAAAAATTACTGATTTTCTTAGTAAACAATTATCTTTACTCATCAATTCACAAATACTTTCAACTTAATGGAACCCGTTGCATTTAATAATATATTAGTTTTATCTTTTTTATGCTTTTAAGAATTTTTTTGATTGGATTTTATTTATGGATCTTCATTATATGCATCACGCTCCTCGTCTGTTTCTACTTGTTTCGGCGAATTTTTCGGTCTAATTAGCATGCGCGTTTTATATAGTGAGTAGTCACCATGCCATTGCTCCCAAATGATGCCGACGTAATTGTGCCCTTTGGGTGTTTGACGGTAAATACCGTTTAAGTTCGCTTCCGAACAGCTATAGTGCGCATAAATGGAAAAAATAATTTTTGATTAATATATTTGCAATAAGCAAATTACATTACATTACAAAGGCACACTCACTTGTCAAACCACCAGCCACTTCCGTAACCGGTAGCGCATGCGCAACACGCATCTACGCTCTTATCGTTGCGTCGATCATATGTACTGAAGTCTATTTCGTTGTGATAGTGCATTGCATCGGGTGCTGTACCGCTATGTCCACCAATTAACAAATTGTAGTTGTAGCGCTCACTGTCCAAACGAAACAATGCGTACTCGGCCCACAAATGTTCTGTTAATTTAGGTTAGTTAACTGACTTGTCGCATATGCATATGTATTAAAATAGAAATCGTATGTTATTATGTAATAACAATTCGCTTACCATCATTAAAATCCGTCAATTCAATGCGCAGCTCATAGTCATCCCGATCAACCAGTTGATGTATGAATTCATTACCATACCAAAATTCCTTGTCGAGCATACCGAATCCATTTCTATAATCCATCCAAGAACGATTGAAATTTTCATGTTCGATATAAGGACCACGATTTTGTATGACGGTCCAAGCAGCGCCGTCAGTTGCAAAGGCACAGTAACGTTCATTGAAATCACGTGATGCCTCATTTAATGCAGGTGTAGAAAATTTGTAAACGCCATCGACTGGTGGACTAAACAACTCATGACAGCCGATCTTACTTGGTTGCAAAAAATCTAGAATATTAGAAAAAAAAAAATTTTAAAATGCAGGGCCTTAGTAAAATTAATCCCTCTTCAGCTTTCTCATGCAAATTGTACATGCTGAAAATTTAGCTTCCTAGTACTCACCAACAATATCGAAGCGAACGTCGATCCGTTCTGTCTGCTCTTTTACGTCTGAATCTGTAGGTTCATCCAAATTTTCATCAGCTTTAACCGCCGACTCATCTTCAGCGTCTTCTTCTACTGATGTTTCATGCTCAATATCATTACGAACGTTAGATGCATCCTTATCTACTTGTTCCGTGTCAACTACATCAGCATCTTGCTCAACTGCATCATCTTCATCGTCTTTATCACCTGTTTTGTGCAACGGTTCTTTCGGTAACTTTTCATCGACTTCGTGTAGTAAAAATTCGATGCGTTTCAGCAGCAAATCCGAACTTTCGGTGAACGTGGCTAGCTCACTGGACATAGTCTGACATTGCTGCCAACCCATGGCACTTTCATCACGCCACTGCAACAATTGCTCATCGATTTTATTCATCCAATTTGCGATTTTTTCCAATTGCTGTGCATCTTTTTTGACTAACGTGTGTATTTGTTTTAATTCTTTCGGTGGTGTTGTTGGTCGTGTAAGTAGTTTCGTTAACTGTTGATCGACAGATGTTAGCGTCTTTTCAACATTTTGATTTGAATTACAACCGCCAATAGGCGCCATTAGCTTAGCGACTCTATTGTTGGCATTCGTTGCTGTGTGTCGTCGTTCGCTGCGACAATTATCGCGTTCAATGTTCTGCACATGTCGCAATATGTTGTTGAGACGTGTCGACAGCTCCCCACGGAGCTGCTTGTCAACGTCGATGGCATGCTTTACGTCCCCCAGCAAGGCGATATGCTCATATAGCAGCTCGTTGGTATCTCGATATTGTTGTTGTTGTTGCGCAGTGTCACGGCCATTGTCATTGCCATTGCTGTTCGCACGGGTATTATAGAGTGTTGGTGATCGTATGGTGTCTGCGACGTTTTGGTGCGTATTGCAAGTTTCACTAAGATACACGACTTTGCTTAGTATGTGATTGAGTGTGAATTCCAGGCTTATGAATTTATTTCCATATACTTGCTGTTCGTCCTGCGTACGCCTAACCAAATCTAATTTGTGTTCTAATGCCTTGATTTGCTCATTCCATGCATCGATGTGGTGTCGGAAGATGGCCCAATTGTGTGCTTTTTCCTCCAGACTCTGCACGCTGGTATCAATTCGACTTAAGGCGTGATTGATATGTTCCAGCTTCAAGGCATTGGTACATTCATGCGATACATTTGATGGTTCTTTTGGCACTTCTTTAGCAGTCGAATTGGTTAGAGCTGCCGAGTCCGATCGTATTATACAAAAGGCAAGAGTTAGACAAATTGCGCTTAACCACATCTGAAAACGAAGTACAACTTATAATATTTAATATCATTATTAAAATATATATATTATACTTAACTGTTCAATTTGGTTATTTAAGGAATTAATAGCACTTGATTCCGCACAGTTCGAGTGTTTGAAATAAACTGAAAGAAGTAAGCGAGTCGTATGCTAAAAGATATCCAGATTTAAATTGCTTACTGAATTCATCATCTCGATCAGCGGGTGTTTAAATATTCCCATGAGTATAAAAGTTTCTAGGCAGGCTAACACATGCTCTTGTATAAATAACAATGTATGTACATACATATGTATATAGGTGTATAAATATGCATACCTATGTACATGTTTGTACAATGTGTTTGACTATGGTCCCGAAGATAGAAGAAGATTTTTTATTATGTGCGAAAGTAAAATATCTTCCAGATGTTGATAGTTATCCATATAAAAATACTAATGTGAATATTTGAACACTTATAAATAATTCCAAACGGATTTTTATCAATTAATTTAATTTTATTTTATTTCGGCATATACATAATTGTATACAAATGTATATACATACATATGCTTATGAAGTACACACCAGGTCATAGGACTCGAGCATCTAAAGCCAACGCGCCACAGATGCCCTATTATACAATTCCTTTAAATCATAAATTATGTTGTTGTTTTTTAGCAGAAATTCTGGAAATGTGTTTTTTGTTGTATATATATGTATGTACGTTACTACATTCGCTCAAAATTAAAAATTCCCGATATGTTCATTTAGCATAATTTGACTTTTAGTAGAGAAAAAAGAGAATATCCGTTTCCTTTTGTTATTTCTACATCGCCGGTGGAAATTACAACTGCTTAACCAGCCAATATTATTTTCATAATATTCTTGGGTGGACAATGCAATTATTAATTTGCTTTTATTGTTGTATTGTTGCAAGAAAAGAAAGCATAAAAAACGAATATTTTTGCAAATTATAATGTAACAATAATCGTAGAGTTGTACTAAATGCACTGGAATATGTGGAGATAGATAGATAGAGAAAAATAAAATAAAAATTAATTTGCATAAATTTATAATTTTTACAGCTATAAATTCATATTTGAAACAAAAATACAGCTAATATTTACATATTATTTATGCATTAATTAATTCCTTCCATTACACCAAATTTTTGGCGTTGATTCGGATTTTATTCTATGCACCTTTGGTAAACCGCGTTATCGACAAGTTTCGCATTAGAGCGAGAAGTAACTCTGCAACACCTAAAGGGTATCTGATCGCCTTTGTTAAAATGAGAAGAAAATTTAACAAACAAAATCGGGGTTGCTAGTTTCACAAACCGATTATTATAAAATTTTGATCAAAATTAATTTTTGAATTAAAACTCAATTTTAACTAAAACTTATATACATTTAAAGTTCTGTGGACATTCAATGAACTAAATTTGCTGGACGATAAACATTTTAGATATAGTTTAAATTGATAACATGCATCCCTGTAACCAACCAACAACAACAAATTATATCGCTGGCGGTGTCAGTCGTTCGTCGACATTCAATCGAGAAAAGTGTAAAATCCAAGTGAAATAAATCATAACATATCTTTAAAAACGACCAAATCCCTAAATTTTATGTTCTGCTGAAATGAAATAAAACAAAGAGTTAATAAAGGAGCATATGAAAGAAGCGGAAGTCAGGAATAAAGATGTAATAAATATATTACAAGACGTTAGTGAAGGAAGAGAAGTAAAAAAGGTGAAGTGCCACTCCTTTGTGTAAAAGACGAATGCGCCAGCAGTGGAGACGAAAGTACTAAGTGCATAAGTGTAGAAAAAGTCAGATAAATTAAAAATATATGCAAGGACGGAATGTGGAGTCAGCAATAAAAATTTGTTGAAAAAGATGCAATGTGATTGTACAAAATGTTAAGAGAAGTGAATTGAATGCATCTGAGAAATTAGTAGATAAGAAAACATGTAACTAGTGCATGTGAAATTCATGTGAATGAAGAAACAAGTTTGTGTATAATTGAAACGTAATTGGTGATTAATTAAACCACAGAAATATTTTAAGAACGAAAGAAATGTGAATAAATGATAAAAAGTGGAATATAAGATACACAAAGAGAACAAATTTTATATAAAGTAATACATGTAAAATAAACTGAAAATTTAAAGTTAAAAATACGACAATAAAACTTCGTCGTGGAGTAGTTAATATAATGCACTATATATATTTTCGAGTTTTAAAGACTGATCGCCACCATGCATACTATTGAAAAGTTTCGAGTGAGTCACGCATTTTAGTAAGCAACAGCGCAGCACTAGAGCTAAAAGAGCAGAAAATTAAGGGTAGCAACAAACATCAACAAATTTAGGTGTGTGCTACTGTCTTAAATAATTGCGTTAATAGCCTAGAACAAAGTTACAATTTCTTAATTAAATTTTTTAAATCCAAGATTGAAATTCAAAACAGTCTATTTTAATTATACATACATATTGTCAAAATGACTAGTTTCACAAGTCTGAAGGGTTGGTTTGGTCGCAAGAAGGAACCTATCTCAGAAATCGGTAATCCAACCAACTTTCAACGGCATTATCATGTATCAAGAAATGAAGAGACGGGGCATCTTGAAGGTTTGCCTGCGTCCTGGACAAGACTTATGAATGCACAAATTACCCGCGATGAACAGGATAAAAACCCTGACGCTGCCTACCATGCCGTTAAATATTATAACTATTCCATTAAGAAAAAGGACAATGAAGTATTTAAGCCGTTCATTACGGAGGAGGCCATACACGAGGAATCAAAAGAAATAGATAACTATGTGAATTACAAAAATAAACACAAATCACATGATCCAGATAAATCTGATGATGATGAAATATATGGAGGAGGAAGTTCTACTGGGGAAAGTGGTGCATCGTCCAGTGGAAATAGCAATAGTAGTAGTTTCAATGACAATCAACAAGCCATCCGTATGACCGGTTTGAATCAAGTGATTAAAGAACTTGAGTCAAATTTATTAGCGCAACGCGAAACATTGAAACCAATTTCATCATTCACCGCTGACGACCGTCCTCCATTGCCTGCCAAAAAATTACAAACCCTACCCCCTAAACCAGTTTTAAAACCAAAGCCCAGAGCGGTAACTCAACAGCTTTCTCGCGGAGTCTCTGATCTTACTACTATCAATGCAGAAGAACCTTTGAACAAGATCAACACTAATACGATTATCCTCAATCCTGTGGCTCCAACAGATGCTGATACTGAACCAGCTGAGGAATCCATTTTGCGTCGATCAAAAGATAAACGTGCTCAGAAGACAGACGCTGAAATTTATGAGGAACTTCGCGCTATTTGCAATATGGATGACCCTCGCGAACGGTATCACACTACGCAGGAGGTGGGTAAGGGTGCATCTGGGATTGTATTTATAGCAGCCGATTTGCAAACCGAAGCGCAAGTTGCAGTTAAAACCATCGATCTTAAAAATCAATCCTCAAAAGATCTCATTCTTACTGAGATACGTGTATTGAAGGATTTTAATCATAAAAATTTAGTAAATTTTCTGGATGCATATCTACTTGAACCAGAAGATCAGTTATGGGTAATAATGGAATATATGGATGGTGGTCCACTAACCGACGTTGTCACCGAGACAGTTATGAAGGAAAGACAGATTGCGTGCGTTTGTCGTGAAGTTCTTTATGCAATAAGTTTTCTACATTCCAAAGGTATCATTCATCGTGATATTAAATCGGATAATGTGTTATTAGGTATGGATGGTTCGGTAAAGGTGACTGATTTCGGGTTCTGCGCAAATATTGAAGGTGATGAAAAACGTCAAACCATGGTCGGTACACCATACTGGATGGCTCCGGAAGTCGTTACACGCAAGAAGTATGGAAAAAAAGTAGATATCTGGTCAATTGGTATTATGGCAATAGAAATGATCGAAGGACAACCACCATATCTCTATGAGACACCGCTTCGTGCGCTCTATCTTATTGCAGCTAACGGTAGACCTGACATTAAGAGCTGGGATAAACTTAGTCCCAGTTTACAAGACTTTCTTGATTGTTGCTTGCAAGTGGAGGTCGACAAACGTGCAACAGCTGATGAATTGCTACGGCATCCGTTCCTTGACGATTGCAGTGAAGTTAAAGCATTGGTGCCGAACATTAAAGCAGCCAAGAAAGTGCTGCGGCGTATGGTGTAAAGTCACATGTGAAGGGGTAGTAAGATAAAAACAACAATTATCTACATAAAAGATCTGATCATGTTGAATAGATTGACGTGCAATTGTATTATTGGATTAGTGCAGTTGTGTTCATGAGCTGTGCAAGAACGTTGTGTATTTTAGTTGCCTATTTATATACTACATAGCTATAAGTATGTATAAGAGGAGCCTTCGATTGGATGTGAAGAATATTGAGTACGAAAATACTATTAAGATCTGCCACAAAGTCTTAATGCTAAGTCAATAAGTGTGACAGAAGGGTGAAGGCGAATGCTGAATGGAATATAGGGGGATAGGTGAATAGTGTATTGCTGTTGACAGAAAAATGTTGTAGAAAACATGAATAGTGCAGCATAATTTTTATGGATTTTGGTGCATTAAGTGAAGCGTGCGAGAACATCGCTGGTCGAACAGTATTGCAGTCGAAAGGTAGGTCCATAAACTGTATGTATTGCTTTTTGCGTAGTAATGTCGAATTTACAGTATTCAATGGCAATTCTTAATAAAATACTATGAACATACATATGTGTACAATAATGTGTTTTATGAATATTCATTCTTTTTTTACACTGAGCAGGGTATGTAAAGTTTGCAACGATGTTTATTACATAACATCGGAGATACCACAAAGTACATATGTATATAAATGATCGCGTGACGAATTGAGCCGATTTAGCCACATACGGCTGTCTGTCTGTCTATATATACGCGAACTAGTCCCATAGTTTTTGAGAGATCGACCTGAAATTTTGCACACGTTCTTTCCTCACCAATATAGCACATAGCATAACAAACTGATCAATCAAACTCAAGTATTTGTATGGAACACTTTTTGATTTGACAATGTATCTAAACGAAATTTGGCACAAATTATTCAAGCCATCGCTACAGTAGTTGCCATTTAAACTGACCGATCAAATCAAAATAAAAATCTTTTTACAAACTTTTACGCTAAAAATAATGCACATGTGAAGGGTAATATAGCTTCCGTGCAGCCGACGTTAACGTTATATTCATGTTTTTAATATTAATTTGTTTTTTTTTAACTACTGTGTAATTTTTGATAACAAAATATAACAACAACTGTGAATACTCCCATGTGAAAAATTTTGATTAGCGTTTGCATTGTAAGTTGATTTCGCTTACATAACAATCTAATGAATATACATCGAAGTGAAAACCATCGTTATATTTTACGCGATTAGCTTTTACTAGGAAACATATATGTAGATATCAGATGTATACATTTTAGGCAAATGAATTTACAATAATTTTAATGTTGCCTCATGTTATTGTTAAAACTGTATTGATTGCTTCATTTGCATAAAGTTCCTTTGATTTATGCGACACAAAAGTTTTTTTTGCCGTTAGCGTGCCGATCCACGTAATCCAAAGTCTTTTGTCATTTCATACAAAGTGAAGTCTTTACGATTTTGGTGGGACTTAATGCTTCCGGTTTACTAAATCACTAAATCATGCCTAAAAAATGTTTATATAAATTTGAACAAAGATGTTAAAACGTAAACGTTCTTAAGAACCAAAAGTATCATTGGCTGCAAAGTTATTGGCTCAATTATTATTTAACTCAGACTCGCACCAAGTATATTTTTAACTCTTTTCGAAATAAGAACTAAACAACTTTTTCACTCATGACGGAGGCCAATTAAACTTTTCACCAATATATTGCAATATATTGTTTGTATGTATGTAAATAAATAATCGATTTCACTAAAAGCAATGTATCCATCTGATCAATCTAAATATTTCTGGGTCAGATAAATTCAAAACTCAGCCACTATCAAAAAGCTTATACATATGTACATTTTTATTTTCTTTGCTTTTTTATATCAAAGTGCGCAGCGATAAACGAAAGTGTTTCCCCTTGCGTATTTGGTAAGCGAAGCTCATTGGCATTCGTTGTTGATTATGTTTTTCGACAATCACGATCGGAAAGCGATTGCTGGTGTGTGCGTTGGTATTATATGTATTAACACGTACATTTGTATAACGTGTCATGATAGCGGGTAAAACGGCATTAGTTGTAAAAATTATAGTCAAGTTAGTATACTTTAAAACATATTCATATAATTTATTCTAAGAAGTCTGAATTTTAACAACGTCCGTTAGCATTTTTTTTTGATTATTTTGCAATAAAAATTTAAATAAATACAAATGCACTTTTAACTATTTAATCTGAGAAGGTTGCGTTAATTTTTTTTTGCACTGCCGATTGTTTAAGTGCAAACTTATAGAAACATCCGTATAACCAAACATTAGGTAAATCAAATTTGTTCTTGGATATAGTAAAATTATGTCAGATTAGATAAGTTATATATTATATATTTAAAAGTGTATTATATATTTACTTTTGCTCAACGCATACACTGCAAAAGAATTTGTTTGTTATCTGTTCAATCGTTATCACAAATAGCAACAACGCAGTTTTATTACTGATATGTGTTTTAAAATTTTTATTAATGTATATTTTTTATATATTGTACATTATGTATATATGCGAACTAGTCCCTCCATTTTGAGATCGATATACAATAAACTTTGCACTCGTAATTTTCTCCCTAAGAATTGTCGGAACCGCCGATATCGGACCACTGAACGACCAAAATACAGTTCTTGTACGAAAAATTTAACATGCACATGGTATTATAGCTTCAGTGCTGCCGTATATAACGTTTTTTCTTGTTTTTCGGTACATTCGCATGATTCAGTCTTGTACTTTCCTAAACTAACTCATTTTAGACTTAGTAAATACGAAAAAACGTACATCAGATGTCAGCATGACAGAAGTGTATCAATAAAAAAAAAATTATACGAATATCGCTTAATTTTTAAAGCATATCAATCTCTTCGCTTTTTTTTGGTACTTGTAAACATCCGCCATGCATTGCAGCCATCTTTTCCTGGTAGATGAGGTTAATTTTGTGTGAAATATGAAAGTGTAGCTGCACTGGAGCGGCAAATAGTATATGCTACAACATATCAGCTGCAAATGCTTACAAAATAATAATCGTGGCATCCACTGAGTGATTCGTCGACATCTCTGACTTTTACGTTTCTCCTTTTTTAATCACATAAGTTTTGTGTAGTTTCGTTTTCGTCAGACATTTATACTTCCCCAAAGTGGTGTGAGTGTTTGCGGCGTGGCGCTTGTGGTGGCCATGGCGGCCGGCATTCACGTTCTGTCTGTTGTTTTTTGGTTCTCTTTTGTTTATTTATTTACTTATACTTGTTATACTATTGCAACATGTTGCTATAGAGTATAATAGTTTTGTTCACCTAACGGTTGTTTGTATCAACTAAAAATAATCGAGTTAGATATAGGTTTCTATATATATATGTATATAAATGATCAGGATCAGGACAAGACGAATTGAATTTCGAGTAACTTTCTGTCTGTCTGTGCGATAACTTGAGATTTAAGATATATTAATCAAACTTGGTACACATATTCCCTGGGCAAAGTGAAGACGAATTCGTAAATAGGTGTAATCGGACCACTGCCACGCCCACAAAATGCCATTAATCGAAAACATGTAAAGTGCCATAACTAAGCCGGAAATTAAGATACAGAACTGCAATTTGGCACAACGAATCACATTGAGGGGCACCAATGGTTTGAAAATCTTTAAAAAGTGGGCGTGACCCCGCTCCAAACTAATAAAGCTATAGTACCCAAATTTGCACAGAACAAATTGTTTTAATCCTTCTTATGATAATGTAAAAACAGGTGAAATCGGATGATAATCCCGCAGAATCCTTAAATAACGCTTTTGTTAATAACTACTAAAAGTGTGATAAATCAATAACTAAATGCGTCAGAGACATCAAATTTTACATCCAGGATGTCAGAAGAGGTCTTTATAGGAGCCGGAGTCAAAATTAGAGGATGGGCGTGGCACCGCCCACTCTTTAGTAAAATCACATATATCGGGACCTCCCGGATCGATTTTATGTTCGCTACATAACATTCTTTTAATATTCCTATGTTTCAGAGTGAAAATGGAGTAAATCGGACTACACCCACGCTCATTTCCCATATAACAAAATTTTAAATTCCCATCTGATTCTTTCACTCTCCAGTATACAAATCAAGCACCAATAAATGTATCGTGATAAACCTTTACACGAATAGTACCTTTGAACTGTGCCACCTTATAAATTCTCCAAAACGATCCAAAAGTGTGGGCGTGGTTTCCTAATAACTACCATACATGTATCTTTATGCTTAAAATGGCATTAAATCGGGAGAAAATTTACCCTAGCCCCCATATAACTTATATAAGTATTATCAAACTTCCAATTGACTTTACTCCTTCTATATTGGTGATGGTATATGTGGTACTTAAATGAAACTCAGAGAGCATTTTATCCGTTAGCAATGTGTAGTAATGCCAAAAATATATACTAGGTACTCCTATCTACATTTGTACGCACATAAAATAATTTTTGTTACTTTTACAAACCTTGTGCTGAATATATCGGTCAGTGTGTGAGTTATTTACTTATAAAATTGTTTGAAAATATGTTCTCAAGTATACCTTAACAATGTCAAAGGTTAATACAATAAGCCCCGACCTTTCTCTGTCCCCCTGTATAGTGATTTTCAACTTCCCAACTGACTATAAAGTTTAGGTTGGTCAAAATGTGTGATATTTTATTGAAATTAAGTGAACAAGTTTTCTTAAAAATTATAAAATTATATTAGTGATTTAGCGCTGAATATGTAATCTTCCACATCATCTCAATATATGTAACACATTAAATTCGGTTGAGTTTATATCTCATATCACATTTGAGGATGACTTTAATGTAATTATAGTTGACGCGAAGTAAAATATAAAAATAAAACTAAGTGAGTCTATGATCTATAATATAACTTACTAAAATACGAAATTTGATTGTAATCCATTTCGCAGCATGTTTTTTAATATAAAGTTTGGCCACCACTTACAAGTATTTCGCCGGCTTTGATCCTGAAGAGTATAAAATGTTCGGTTACACCCGAACTTAGCGCTTTCTTATTTTTTTATTTTTATTTTTATATTTGTTTGCTGCTATTCGTACGTGATTTGTGATGTTTTGCCTATTTTTTTTAGTTAGTTATTGAAACGTTTATTTAAGTATGCTTTAAGAATTTGTTTGCTGTAATTACGTATATTTCTTTCATATTAATTATTCTAAGCGCTCATTTCCTTGGCCTCAGTTGTGTGCCAGCTGTTTACGGATAATTAACAATAAAACCGAAGGTGATTATTTTAATTGTATATATGTATGTACATATGTATATACGAGTATATTTGTCTATCTATCTATTTGGCACCTTATCTCCATGATGGGAAACTACACTTGAGTGAATACGAAAAATGCATTCACGTGGACGTTCGTTTACCCGTATCTACATCTGTATGTAG